ATATATATATATATATATATATATATATATATATATATATATATATATATATGCCCACCACTGCTAAAAATTAAAAAGAGCTTTTACAATTGGTTCAAAAAAAAAAAAAGTCATTATTTTCTCCTTTTCTTTAAACAGTGAGAGTTTTAGGAGCTTTTGATCTATACATTATACAACAGTAAAGGTAAGGAAATCTGTGTTTGTTTGGGTATTTGTTTTTTATGAACTTTCTTATGCCATAAACCATGATATTTAATTAGATTAGATTAGATTAGATGAGCTTTATTGATCACAGCACAAATTCACGGGTCACATATTGGCATAGTAATTAAAGAAGGTGCAAACAAGGAGGAAAAAGGTGCATTAAGAATAAACAAGCAAGCACTGTATATACAGTATATCGAGATTTATACAGTATATCAAGATAAATAAGAATTAATTTGGACATTAGCTTTAGTGAAGCCAAATGGTAGCGAACTAAATGCTTGATATAAAAGTTGATATAAACTTTATCTCGATAAGGGTTTAACCATGAATTTACTCTGCTCCTTTACATTTTGACTGCTAAAATATGACCAGAGATTCCTTTTAAACAAGTCTATCTGTTAGCTAATAACCAAACCTAGTTAAAGAAGCTAAAAGCGCCCCAATGCTGCCCCAGACCATCACACTGCCACTACACTGAAAGATATCATGAAGATTTTTATGGGCTCTACAGAACGATTTAATATCACTGCTCTGTCCAAAAATGCAATATCCTTTGAAACATTGCATCATTGATTTATCCTGATTATTCTATTGGGAATAAACACATACGGCTAAGAATGAATTATCTAAATGGTTATTGACTTCTGATTGGGTAGTCCATTAAACATTATTGGACTAAGAAATGTTTTATTTATCTGCTTGGACTTGCATTGTGCATTGGTCTGAACACAATCCAATTACTCTAAATTAGTTAAAAGCTAATTTGACCTCACTCCAAACTCTTGAAGATAAATTTTGGTTCTAAAACATAAAAACTATGCCTAACTGTGACATGGTTGCATCATTTTATTGATCATGGTTTTCAAACATTTTTTATTTCTTCTTTGTGTAAATGTGAGGTTAGTTGGTTTGAGTTTCACTAGTTCAGTCAACATTTTTTAACAGATTTTATTTGACTTGAATTTGAATTATTTTTGTAAATAACTTGTTATATTTTGAATGGAAGATGTGGTGGATTTATTTCATATATAGAGTTATCTGACCATGATTGGAGCTTCATTCACATTTTCATTTGTTGACCTACAGTAACACACAGCAAGTTGGGTGTTATTGTAATTTTATTGCATGTTTTTTGTTAATTTTATGCTTCTGTGACACATTTACTATTATATACTACGGGCGTTCAATAGGTTATGCCCCTGGCCCACTTCCAGATGTTTGATCACGCTGAAATTTTGCATGTGGAGAAATTTAAATCTCTATAGATTAAATAGCAAATTACAGCTCTGAACTAATTGTGGTTTCTGATTTACTGGTGTTAAAACTGAGTCAAGTCTGAGTTTTTGCATTTGAAAGGACCCACACAATAGGAGACTTTAGATCAAATGAAAGTAACTTATAGTGATTGAAAGTGTCCCATAATATAACCTTGTTAAACATTTTGCAAGGTCAATTAACGGGCATCATCACCATAAGTTACTTTAATTTCATCAAGTCTCTTGTGGTGTATCACTACTCGATACTCAACAGGCTCCATTTCAGACTTTACTCAGTTCAAACACCTGTAAGTCAGAAACCATAAATACTTCAGAGATGTAATTTGCTACTTAATGTATAGAGATTTAAATAACGTGACATGCAAAATTTCAGCTCGATCAAACATCTGGAAGTGGGTCGAACCTTTATATCCCAGCATCTGTTTGTTTCGTTTTGTTTATGAGTTTATGTCTTTAGAGAGGTAACTGTGTTCTTTGGAGATGATACTGTGGTAACTGCAATATTAGCACAAACAACAGCTATGGCGTGAGGGTTTAAAAAAAATATATTAAAAAATGAAAAAAAATCTTTAGCCCAGAAAATGCTTGACAAATCCCAACGATATGATGCTTCTGCAAAGAAGCACAGTAATGCCATCAAAGCAGGACTTTAATACAATAAGAGGCAGCAATTTATATTTATTGTGTCATCATTGATTAGGTAAAAAATGAAATCTGATATTTTATATAATTTTTGTGTAATTTAATTTCTTTTTGAAAGGGCGACCAAAAGAGTTTATATTCTTATTTTCCTTATAAAAACACCAAGACAACAGTAAGAGACAATCTCACCAACTAATCATGGGCAGTCAATCATGATAGGCACCTGAAATCAATGGTGTTAAGGCCGATGAGTGTGTCTGCCAGCAGTCCTGCCTCTTCTCCCAGCATGATCGCTCCTTCCTCAAAAAACCTCCTAGGGTCAACACAAACCAGCATTTATTCAGTGCAGGGAATGCAAGAGAAGCAGCAAAATCTTTCTTTTTTTATTTATTTGAAGACCTTGTGGTTTTGAAGTCCTTCAGAGCAAATGAAATGTACTCTGAAAGTCGCTTCTCCATCAGAACAACCCTGATCCATGCTCTGCCCTGCAAAGATGCAGAGAAGAAATGTCACCTGACTTAAATCAACTATAAGCTTAACACATGTATATGTGTATCATATGAAATATCAGTTCATGACTGGGTGTTGACAAAATATAATTTGAGCCATTTGTTTTTATATTTTTAGGGTGTAAAAAAAATATTTTTCTATTTAAAAATAATACAAACTAATAAAAAAAAGTAGATCAGTCTTAAAGATGTAGTGGGAAAAATGTAACTTGGTACATATTTTAATCAGTTACATCTTATAGAAGGGGATTCCTCAAAAATAACACATGCGTTACATTCAGCTAAGACAGCAATGTTCTCCATAAACACCAATGATTTAAGTCCTGTTGTTTTTCATTGCTTGTATTGTACATGTTGAATATCCACATGTTTTATGCTGCTGCATCTCTCCTCTAGCTCTCCTGCAGTGTTGGAAAATATAATATGGTGCCTGCATGGTGGGGGCCACACCTTTGCTCTTGATGATCGTACATTTTCCATGCTCTCGATGCTTCGGATGCAGTTATGAGGCACTTTACTGCAGGCCCCTTTTATGTAATCCCAGAAACTCCGAGGACTCTCGTAACCAAACCATGTGGTCTGACCTAAGCCAAAAAGACATAAAAACAGGATTTCTTTTATAAAAACATTTTTGAAAGTGGTGTTGCTCAAATAAGAGCATTTAAAAAATGAGATGAAACTAATCCCAGCCTCTTATTTGTGCTAAATTATTGTTGCAAGACATATTGTTTTTAGATAAAAGTAGGACTGTATAGGAATGAGATGGACAGACTCAATTTAAATCTAGATAATTGGATGATAACTTGACTGTAAATTGCCTTGAGTGGACATCTGTTATAAATTATTGCTATATAAATGAACAGAATTTAATTAGATGTCATTGATTTTCCCTCTTTTTCTTCTAAAGATTTTAGACCACAACTTGATTATTTCAACCGAATGTGTTTCCTCTCCCATCAGCCAATTAATTTGCTCAATTTAAGGACTAATTCTCAAGAGAGTTTATCATTTACCAAAGGAAGTTTAATAATTTTTCAGAAACTATAAACAGTTATTGAAAATTATTTTACATTTTAAATGTATAAAATTGTCTCGAACTTCCTTTGACTGGTTGCAGTAATTGGGGAAAACTGGGTAACTTAAGAAATGTTCAAAAGTGTATCAATGACTGCATTTAAATCAGTTACTGTTGTTTATATTGAAATCTGACCAATTTTCTAATTCTACATTTTGGAAGTCAAATCATCTTGGCAAGTCAGTGATATGCAGCCATAATGACACCTCCCACTCATCTGTCTGGATAATATAAACCTTACATTGAGCTGCAAAAGTTACTGCCTATTATTTTTATTGAATAACAGAACCTCAACAAATCGTGTAATAGAGCAACACAAAAGTTATGAAGCGGAAGAAATGTGATCTGAAAACATGAACTCCTTCTTACTGCAGTTGGAGCTGTAAACATTTTTTCTGGGGGCAGGACAGGTCTGGACCAGCTTTGTAAATCAACAGACTGATTTTGTTTTTCATTTTATTTTTTTACCTAAATAGCTCAGGCCTAACCAAACTGGATGGAAAACCTCTCAGAACTATTTTCATGTATCACCAAAGGTTCTTAATTAAATCTAGATCCATCACATAGAAACACATTAATAATGTTTATTTAAATCATTACATTTTAGCTCTAGCTGTATGTTTAGGACTACCATCCTACCATTGCCCAGCCTTTTGCAGCCTCTTATATATTTTATTCCAATTTCAAACTTTGATTTAGCTCCATCCATCTTCTCACCACATTTTATCAAGTTGCCCAAAGCTCCTTTGCCTGTTAAGGGCAGCCATCCCCACAGCATAATGCTGGCACCACTATATTTCACATCAGCCACATTAGAGATGCACCAATTCACATTTTGTTACTTTAAATGCAAATGCAATAATCGAAATTGTTTGTTTTAATGTTACCATTGCTACTGTTGCCTTTTAAAAAGAGCCTGTCTTAAATTTCTGTCTACAAGCATGTATGATGAGTTAGATGAGATTAGTATAAGGCCAGAAAAGGAAATCACAAAAACACTGAATCATGTTAACAGGATCCTCAAAACAACTATGTAACTATAAGGGTTCAAACTAACTGTATTTATTAAACCAAAGCCACCTTTCTACTGTTCAACTGATTTTTAACCAAACTTAACATTTATTATAGAAATTGAATAAATAAATCTGCTCCAGTGGTTCAGGCCCTTTTCACTGATACCCCAGATAAAGTGTTTTTATTATCAGGGCCCATACTGGTATTATTTTCAAAACAGGGCATACCTTCCTCCACATGTTTGCTGTTTTTATTGGGAAGCTTGTGGCAAATTGCTGAAGGCACTTAGGTTACTGCTGGTTTAATCACAGATATGCCAAACAACTTAATATTGACAGCTGAGGCTATTGTGAGGAAAACTTTAAAAGGTTGAAGCAGTGTTTTTTTTAATTTACACACTGCACTGTACACAAACAGCCTCTATCAGTGTCTTCACTCTGTCACATAAGCTTTACATGCCTTTGAGCCGATGACTGAGGATGTGCTCCAGGATGGACACGAAGTTAACAAACTCTGGCGAAGAGTCGTCGATGGTTTCAAAACAAGAACGATCCAGCAGGGTCTTCACTGAAAACCTGAACAGAAAGAGGACAAACACATAAGTATGTTACTAATCTGTACATAACCTCCATTAAAAAAAAGGACCAAAATCACTCGTTCCCTTTCAGATTAGTAATGTCAGAACAATTATCTCAGTTTAAGTAGAATAACATGAATTAATTTACACGTTGATTTTTCCACAACAGCAGCATAAATGTCTTAAATAATCTCCTGTGATGAAAACAGCCTTGCTGTGCAGCACAAACCGACTGAGTTTAATCTGATTGGAACTAATTACACAGGAAGGACATTCAGCACACAGGGCTGCCATGTGTTTCCGTGTGTTTCTGCATGTGCACAGTGAATCCTGTCAAACTGCGTGTAGCCGTGGACACTAACTACATAATCTAACTTTAAATCTCGCTCTGCATCTCGCTGTCCTCGGTGTTGCTTAGCAACAGGATGACGATGGATGGTTAGCTTCCTGTTCAACACCTGATAAACTTCACCTATAATCGACTTTCAGAAACCTTAAAATACCCTGTTACAGATCTTTCCATTCAGAATCCAATTTTTCTTAACTGTACAACATTAAGCCTGCTTTAGTCATTTGAGTCGTTTCATTTTGCATTAGTTCAAATCTAATAGTTTTTTTATATTTTTTGAGACTTCATAATATTGCAATAAAAAAAAAACACTTAATGTTTCTGTTTCTTTTTAAATCCTGAATCTTTTACTAACATTTGTAAAATGGGCAATAAATAACCACTCTGCCTGCCTGTATCCATTGAAGGATGGTATTTTTTATAATCTCTGCATTCAATATAAACTTTTGCAGCCTCCATTAAAATAAGCAGATCTGGACAGGTAAGCAGCTAATCAGTGTTAATTCAGTACGACGTTCACAAAGCACATTTCACTGTGAGGGAAATTCAAAACCTGGTTTAGAAAACAGCACAATTATTATCTCCAATGCAATGTCAGCTACCTTAATTATGTTTTTATCAAGTCAGAAGTTGTGCAGCGTTGACCATATCCTGACCAGCACCATATGCTGTAAGACACACATAAGGAACTGAAAATGGACTCTATTGAGAGGCAAATGTTTGCTCCAGTAATAATATGAAGTGACACAAAACAAGCAAGCTTCTAAAGATCACTAAAGGCAACTTCAAGACTGAAAACTGGACTGATTTATTTTCAAGGATTAATGAAGGTTCCATAACATAGAAGGTATGTGTCCAGATGTGTTGCGCAGATGTTAAGAGCGCCTATTTATTTCTTGGAAATGTAATCCAATGTTTGCTAGTTCTTCACTCTATTTCAAAAACACATTTCTGAATATATTTCCAAATAATTTAATAAATCTTCAGATTATCTTATATTTCATTATACAATTTAGCTGATCGTGTGTGTTTACAAGCTCACACTAGAAGCCTGTTATAACTCAGAAAAATAATGCATTTTCTATACTATCATAATTTTTGCACAATTATTATCAATTTCTTAAATTATTATTAAAGAGCATTTTGAAGGTTAGAGCGTCACTTTTATCAGTGTTTTGAAAAATATGTAAGGAATTTTTATTATTTTATCTTTTTTTTTTTTAGTTCCTATGTAAGGTGCCAAAAAATTGTTTTTTTTTTCTGTCATTTAAAATCTTAAAATAGAAAACATCAGAATCTACCAAAAGAATATGTATTTTATTTTTTTTATTGAAATTAGGACAATATAAACTAATTAATATGTCAGTTTTATGCATCAATATAATTAAGGCACGTAGGGACAATAAACATTAAACAAGACAATAAACTGAGGAGCTCACACAACACATAAAGATACAAATAGCATGAATTTACAATAAACGCAATTCTACAGTAACAGGGAAACAGAAAATCTACATGTGAACAGATAGCTGGTTAGTTTTCAACAAATTTTTCAGAGAGTTTTTTAAAGTTGGACTAAGGGTGACAGTTCCTGATATGACCTGGCAGCAGATTCCATAACTGCATACCTCAGATGGAGCAGCAAGTCAATTTAAAATTAAAATTTAAAAACAAGGAAAGCATCCATGAATATCTGATAACTTCAAAATGGCTTTGTTGGGCTACTGTATAAAGCCTCGAGCTCAACGCTATTTCTGAAATATTAAATTGAAAAAGCTTCCTGGGTGGGAAGCGAAACGTCTTCAAACTTGGAAACAAAGTCCTGTGGATTGTTTTTTAACTTTTTTTTGAAAAGTTGCCCATAGGTTTTGGATAATCTAGACACCACCACTTATGAGTAACTTACAATTAATGTATGTCAACGATCAGCCACCATAGTATACAGACTCTAAAACATGTGTGCTAAAAAAAACAGCCTTCTCAGAGCAGTAAGGAAGCAAAAACATTATAAAATAAATACATTTTGCACCCGAGGTAAAAAAAAAAATAAAATAAAAAAAACTTTGTAAACATGCTGTATCCCATTAGGGTTTAGTAGGTATTTTTATTACATGTTCAAGAAATATACCATGCAGTTAACAAATTTTTTTTTTTTTAGTTCAAACATCAGAGCATTTTTATAAATTAACTGAGAAATTCATCACTAGATTAACTGATTACTAATATAACTTTCTGCTGAAGCACCAGAACAATTTTGAAAAAGGAGAGATCCAAATTCTGGTTTTGTTGATGAGGATTGAATTCTTCATCAGTTGATCCCCCGTCCATGTATTTGATTAGCAGAGGTCTTGAGTGTTTGGATTCACCAGGTAATGCAGGGGGGTTGTGAGATTTTGTCTGCAGAACCAGTGAATAGTCGGATAGAAAAAGGTGTTTTTATACATAAACTCTATCTATCTATCTATCTATCTATCTATCTATCTATCTATCTATCTATCTATCTATCTAT